ACCAGCTGACAAACCTCACTGGCAAAAAGAAACACTGGCTGCTCAGAGCTGGCACACTGCAGCTCTGTAGAAACACTGATCTGAACACAAAGAGCTCATGCGCACACACGCACTGAACACAGAGAGCACATGCGCGCGCGCGCACACACACACACACACACACACACACACACACACACACACACACTGTTTTGGGTGGATTCAGACACAGAAGAGTTTCTGTTGAGATGACAATGAGCTGTGGACACATCAGTTTTTTCTCTGCTGAGGAGAGATGGTTTGAAGCAGCTGATGTTTTTTTGTCAGTCTGAAGAGTCAGGACTGATCTGGGAATAAAGGTGTTCATGTTCGCTCCCCCTTCTACTTGGAATGAACTTCAAAAAAGCCTGAAATTCTTTGAATGTTAAAAAAAAAAGCTTAGGCCTACTGACTTGGAGGTGGACTCAACTGTCTGCAGAAGTTCCCTCAAAATGGGCGTTAATTTTTTTTTATGATCGACTAATGGTAGTGATTTTTTTTTACCTGAAGTTTCTTCATTATGAATGGCTGTAAATTTGTCTATAAACGTCTTGGTAACTGTGCTGCTGCATGTCTTGGCCAGGACACACTTGTAAAAAAGAGATTTTTGATCTCGATGTTTTTTTCTTGGTTAGATAAAGGTTAAATAAATGAAAAATAAAACATGTATGACAGTGAGATGGAGAAGGAGGTGTTGCTGGTAGCCTGTCCTGCTGAATTATGGGATTGAAAGTTGGATGGAGCAGCATCACACAGCCTGTTGGCTTGCAGAGATATGCAGTCAGGCTGCAGAGGGTAGTCATGTGCACAAAGTGAAGAGAAGGTTCCAGGTTTATATGTCACTTCTCCTCAAGGCATGTGCACACTTACACAAAGTCATGAAGTGAGGTATGACTGCTGACATAGATTTGCATCATGATCTGTTTTATTGAATATTCATTGCACTGTGAATCCAATAATATCAGGAGAGACCATAAATACTTCTGTAGGCCCACTGACAACACCATGTTATAGAGATATAGTTGACAACTCACCACCTGTATATCACACAGTTTTCGGTTTTATTGGACAGATAGGAGTGTGTCTGAAACTTTCTTTCTCTGTCTCTGAAACTCAAAGTTATCCCAGAGAGGCGCAGTAGTTGTTTTCAAAAGCAGCACTTTCTTTGAATAAACTCAGAGTAAGCTGAGGAAACTTCCGTCTGGTCCACAGCTGTGCAGCTCTGAGTATTAGAGTTGAAAAACGTCATTAAAATTCAGTGCTCCAAATAACAAATCTCTCAGCAGCCACAGACACATACACACACGTGCACACACTTGCACTGACTATATAACCCCTCACATACACACACACACACACACACATACAACTTTCAGCAGCTCAGCCGTAACAGGGATATGCTAACCTTGGCAGAGGACATCCATGGGGACACCATGGCCAGACTAGAGTTTCCCTCCTGGGACTGATTGTGGCTAGCACACATGCTTATTCTTGCATTGATGGCTCTCCTCTCTCTCTGCCAGTCTTCATACAATATTCTGCTCCACCCAGGCCTCAAACCGGGCTTTCAGCACATATTAGTGTTCACACTTGATGAGGTGAGAAAATAAGGGTTTGACAAAGAGCCAAAACAGATTGTCAGAACTCGCTGATTTTCAAAATCTCCTCAGTGTGCCTGATTACTTCCTTTACAGAGGGACCCCTGATAGTCACATGAGAAATCTGGCTGTCAGGACGGGTTTAGAAATGATTTAGTCATTCAGATCAGTAGACAATCAGTAATACAGAAGGAGACGGCTAAGGTTGAGGGAGCCTCCACATCTTAAGTCAGGCTGTCTATACAGCTGAGTGAATCTAAAGCACAATCTCTAACAGAGAAACAACAGCAGCGCCAACGTGCTGCAGATGGCGGCACGCATAGTCGCAGTGGCTTGGAGCTCCTCTCGCTGACAGCGCGTTTTTATTGTTTTGTTAGTGTGTTTGTTTTTTCTCTGCACGACCTGCCGCACGTTTATCACTTACAGCCGACAGGATCTTTTCCGCATTCTTCTTCGCCCGTTTCGAGGCAGAGCCACCAGCGGGGCCCTCACTGCAGCTGACATCCCAATGGAATGTATGCAGAAAATCACCCATAATCCTACCACTAACTACAATAATCTCAGATCCCTTCCAAAAGCCCACTCACCACAACACTTTGTGAACCAGCCGCCATTTACCATCAAAATGGCCCTTTTAAACGTCTGCTCTCTGCTGAACAAGTCTTTTATTGTCAATGACCTGATTTTAGATCACAAACTGGACTGTTTGTTTTTAACTGAAACATGTCTGGGTGCGGATGCACCAGTTGTTTTCACTGAGGCCTCCCCACCTAATTCTAATTTTGCATTATCTTTTGGGTGTGGTAGAAGAGGAGGTGGCACAGCAGCTTTAACCTCAAACACCCTGGCCACCAAATCTGTTTTATTTGATAAATATACCACTTTTGAGTACAGTGCAATTGTTTTTAGCAGTCCCCCTATCCTGTGTGTCACTGTATACAGACCACCCAAGAAATGCACTGCTTTTACTGGTGAATTTGCTGAATTTTTATCAATTTTACACAACTCCTACAGCATGATTGTTTTAACTGGTAATTTTAACTTACACATAGATAACTCTTCTGATCCGATTTCCACAGAGTTTTTAAATGTTCTTAATTATATGGATTTTATTCAACACGTCACACAGCCAACTCAAAACAGAGGACACACGCTGGACTTGGTCATCACCTACGGTCTGTCCACCAGTGTGTCCTCTGTTGTAGACTTAGCAGTCTCTGACCACTACTGTGTGTTTTTTAATTTCACCGGTTTTATCCAGCAGGACACCTCTGTGAGAACTGTGAGGAATTGCCATCTGACCCCTGAAGTGGTTGCAAATTGTATTGATGTTTTAGATAAAAGTCCTCCAACTGTTTTACCTGCCCCCTGTGATTTTATTGTAGACAATTTTAACAGAAGACAACCCTTGAACTGGTCGCTCCACTGAAAACAAAAAATATCCGACCCAAATCCATACCTCCATGGAGAAATGAGGAGCTTAAAAAGTTCAAAAGGCAGTGCAGGGTGGCAGAGCGCAGATGGAGAAAAAACAAAACAACAATAAATCATCAATTATTCAATAATCAACAAAGAATCTACAACACTGCCGTAAGAACTGCAAGAAACAATTACTTCTCCAACATAATCACAAACCACAAAAATAACCCCAAAGTTCTCTTTTTAACAATTGATAGCATTTTAAACCCTGATTTTAGTAAATGTCATTTTAATACCTCTGACTCCCTCTGTGAGGAACTTGCAGACCACTTCATGGGGAAGATAGACACAATCAGATGCAACATTTTATCATGTCAAATTACTCCTTTTAACACTTCTGAGTGTTTGTCTTTACCTGAGGAAACACTGGACAGTTTTGTTCTGGTTAATGCTGAGATGCTGGATAAAGTTTTCTTCTCAGTGAGGCCCACCACATGTCTTTTAGACCCTGTCCCTACCTCATTCTTTAAGTTATTTTATGATTCTTTTAGAAATGAGCTTTTAAACATCATGAATTGCTCTCTTCAGACGGGGTATTTCCTGCTGCCTTTAAAGCAGCAGTGGTGAGGCCCCTGCTGAAGAAGAGCAATTTAGATTTTAATGATTAAAACAATTACAGGACAGGGTCTAACTTACCATTTTTAAGCAAAATTTTAGAAAAACTTGTTTTTATCCAACTTAAAGAATTTTTAGATAATCATAATATTCTTGAAAAATGTCAGTCTGGTTTTAGGGTGAACCACAGCACTGAGACCGCCTTGGTAAAGATTTTCAATGATATTAGATTTAATTATGATGCACAAAAGGTGACAGTGTTGGTTCTGCTTGATCTTAGTGCTGCCTTTGATACAGTAGACCACACTATTCTTTTAAACTGCCTAAAAAACCTTGGCCTCTCAGGTGCTGTGCACAGATGGTTCACCTCCTACCTGACAGACAGGACATTCATGGTAAGTATAGACACGTGCTCCTCCAAAGTCCATAAAATCACATGTGGTGTACCCCAGGGTTCGATTTTAGGCCCTGTGCTTTTTTACTTGTACATGCTCCCTCTTGGCGGTGTCATCAGGAGACATGGAATCAACTTCCACAGCTATGCTGATGATATGCAACTCTACATCTCCGTGTCTCCTGATGACACCAGGCCATTGGATGCTCTTTTTAACTGCATTTTAGATATCAAATCCTGGATGGCAGAGAACTTTCTCCAGCTAAACCAGGACAAAACTGAGGTTTTAGTCATTGGCCCTGAGGGAGAAACTTTTACCCAAACTACAAGCACTGTCTTTTAATCCATCACCACAAGTGGGAAACCTGGGTGTCATTTTTGACTCTGAGCTGACTTTTAGTCCACACATTAAGAACATAACAAAAATAGGTTTTTATCACCTAAAAAACATCGCAAGAGTCCGCCCCATTCTCTCTCAGGCCAACACGGAGACGCTAATGCATGCTCTTATCACCAGTTGTATAGACTACTGTAATGCCCTGCTTTCTGGTCTTCTCAAAAAGAATATTTCAGGCTTACAATTATTACAAAATCACTGCATTGGCTCCCTGTGTGTTTCGATTTTAAGGTTCTTTTACTTGTTTTTAAATGTCTTAATGGTCTTGGGCCTTCTTATCTTTCAGAACTGCTTTTATCCTATAGGGAACCGAAGCCACGCCCACTTCCGCGTTAGCGCTATAGGTCCTATTGGGATAATAGGAGTGAATGGACAGGTCTATGGTATTTTCTGGTCCGCTTTGTTTTACACCCTGAGTCACAAATATGTTGTATTTTAACTTAAATGATAACCATTAAGGTAAATAAAGGCTATGTTTGTTGTGTAATTGTTGATCTATTTGTCTTTGAAAACACGTAAATGGAGAGACTACAGACCTCAAGAAGTCGCGTAAATGACGTCACGTCAGTATGGCTCTCACTCGACCAACTATCTCTCCGCCGGCGTAACTCCCACTCTCAACATGACCCGACTTGTAGTGGTTTTCACCACGTTTAATACTCTTTCCTTCATCCTGGAAGAAGGACGTGAAACTTGCCAAAGTCACCGCCATCGTCGTCTGTCAAAGCTTAGACAGTGACGCAAAAATAGTGCGACGAGCGGTGTAGTTCATTACGTGGTCTCACTCTAAATTAAACTGTAGTTATAGCAACATGTCTAAAATCACGGCTTTTTCGAGGTTAAAATGTAAATTTAAACATGATAAACATTATATGTGAAATCCACGGCGTATACCAAAGCGGACCAGTAGTTATATATATCTGTCCATTCATTTTGATGGGCTCCATAGGACCGTATGCTAACCCGGAAGTTAGCATGACTTCGGTTCCCTATGAACCTTCACAGACTCTGCGCTCCTCTGGCAGCAGGCTCCTAGTCATTCAAAAAGTCAGGACACATACTCATGGCAAGGCGTCTTTTCAATATTACAGCCCTCGTCTATGGAACAGCCTGCCAGAGGACCTCAGGGCCACAGAGAATGTTCATGTTTTTAAGAGCAGGCTCAAGACCCACCTTTTTAGCTTAGCTTTAAATTGATGTTTATTTGTTTTATCTTCATTTATTATTGTTAGCCTTGGTTGATCTTAGGTCTGTGTTTTATTCATATTTTAGTTTTTACTTGTTTTTATCCTTTTATCATTTTTAGGACCCCCAGTGTTTCCTCTGAGGGAGCCCTCGGCACAGGGAGCAGTGGCCGCTTGTGGTCGCGGGGTCGCCACAGGGTTCCTGGTGGAGGTTGCTGTCTGACACATCCCTCCGCTGGCCCTGTGTTGGTGTCCTGTGGCTGTGGGCAGCTCTCTGCTCCAGGTGCTGACAGCTCCTCTGATGGCGCCTTCTCAACTGGTTCATCTGTTCTCAGCCTCATGCCGTTCTCTTTCTGTGTGTATGTGCGGGTGCGTTGGCATGAGTGTGTGTGTAGGTGGGGGGTGGGGTGGGGTTAAGGGGGCACCTGGGATAGTTTTTTGTTTTTGTTTTTCACTTGTAAAGCACTTTGAGTCACATTTCTGTTGGAAAAGCGCTTTATAAATAAAGTTTGATTTGATTTGATTTGATACACAGTCAGACCTTCTCTGTGCAGGTACAGGAAGTGAGGAGAACCCTGAGGGCAGTGAACCCCCGTAAAGCTGCTGGACCTGATGGTGTGACAGGGAGGGTGCTGAGGGACTGCGCTGACCAGCTAGCTGGGGTTTTCACCAACATCTTTAATTAGTCCCTCACCCAGTGCTCCATCCCACCCTGCCTAAAGTCCTCCACCATCATCCCTCTGCCAAAAAAGAGCAACACCAGTAGCATAAATGAAGAAAGGCCAGTAGCACTTACCCCCATCATCATGAAGTGCTTCGAGAAACTGGTTCGGAGTCATATCACTTCGTGCCTGCCACCAACACTCGACCCCCACCAGTTTGCATATAGAGCCAACCGGTCTACAGAGGACGCCATCGCCACTGCTCTGCACACCATGCTGACAGACGTGGAGTAGCGAGGGAGCTACACGAGGCTGCTCTTCCTGGACTTCAGCTCGGCCTTCAATACCATCATTCCGAGCAGACTGGTGAGCAAACTGGGGGACCTGGGTCTCTCCCACAACATCTACCGTTGGATTTTGGACTTTCTGACAGACCGCTCCCAGAGGGTAAGAGTAGGACTCCACCAATCCCCAGCACTGAGCACCAGCACTGGCTCTCCACTGGGCTGTGTGCTAAGCCCCCTACTCTACACCCTCTACACCCATGACTGCACCCCCACTCACCCAAAAAACACCATCATCAAGTTCGTGGATGATACCACAGTGGTGGGGCTCATCTCTGGAGGAGATGAGACTGCTTATAGAGTGGAGGTGGAGCGACTGTCAGTCTGGTGCATCTCCAACAACCTCATCCTGAACACCTCAAAGTCGAAGGAACTGATTGTCGACTTCAGGACGAGTAAACAGGACATTCAACCCATCAAAATAAACAGGGACAGGGTTGAGATTGTGCCAGACTTCAAGTTTCTGGGCACCTACATTGGTGAAGACCTGACCTGGACTGCAAACACTCCACGCCCTCTCTCCTCCCTCGCTACGACTTACGCCAATGGGAGGAGCTGAGTTAGGGAGGGGGGATACTTACGCCGGGCTGCGCCGCGTACCAAAATACCAAATTTGGCTTGGGAATGCCTTGTCGGCGCGGTGGACCTGACTTACGCCACGCCTGTGCCACGTCTCCGGCGAGGCACGAAAATAGAGCCCAGTGTGTAAAAGGAAGTTCTTTTAGTTCCTGATAGAGGAAAATAAATGTTATGTGCTAACTTTTTCTGAACTTACAGCACCAGAACTGGACAAATCCAATGTCCATACTTAGCTGTGATTTTTGTGTATAGTTACATCTCTGATTTAATGTCAGTGAAACCCCACCAGGCCTTGTTCAGCTCTGCTCTGACAGCAGGCAGGCCTTTCTCCTGCTGTTTGTGTTCACATTGTAATGGACAGCACAGAGACTGACTGACTGATCGCTGACATACATGGCACAGGGAACATGCCGGCTTTTTGTCAGACGTCCACATGTGTTTCCAATGGGACGGATATTGGACCCCGGGCTGGCAGTGAGTGTCGGCTATACACACACACAGACAGCTTAGTACCAGATGTAGACAGGTTGTGATAGGAGTGTGGTGGCAGTGGCTAAACCTAAGGGAACATTTCTCTGTGTGTGTGTGTGTGTGTGTGTGGGGGGGGGGGGGGGGTAGACATGGGGTTCAGGTTACTGTGTGGCTGCTGAATGTCTAACGAGGAGGGATGTCAGTCCTGTTTGAGAAACGGGTGTGACAGCAGTAAAATTCAGAGGAAAATGAAACCTCAACAGAAAAGATTACGATGTTTTAAGTTTCTCCTGCTTTTGAGTTTTACTCCAGCTCAGTCTTTGTTTCAGGAAAACATTGTAGTTATAATTTCTTAGAACAAAAAAAAAAGTTCTTGGCCATACTGTCTAGCATTTGAAATGTGAAAATAAGGACATTTTATGGGCTCTCACCTGACAGACTGACAAATACTGTGAGTGTTTGTGTTGTCAAATAGGCGCAGCAGTTGTCATGCTGTAAACGTTTTTACCTTCTATCAATGTGACAAGTATTTGAACATATGCACAATTGATTTTCCTCTAAATTGTACTGCTGTCACAGTGGACTGTGACCTTAAGCTTGATAAAGAGATAAGCCCTCAGTAAAAACAAGCTTCCTTCAGCTACACTTACTGGCAAAAGTCAAGACTTAGCTTCCAAAAATAGGTTTTTAGAGGGCTATTCATTGTGTTGTTACATCACGCCTGGACTCTCTTTTTCATACTCATAAACATGCCAACTACTGGGGTGTTCTGTTCAGAAGAGCAATGGCAGAGGGGACAAAGCTTCTGCCAAACTGTGCTCAGGTGATGGATCTATATCATCTAGACCTGATGAAAACAATGTAAAGGATGAGTAGAGGGGGTACCTGGGGTCCAGTGTTATGTTGCGTGCTGTGTATGTGATGGCTTTATTGTTGAGGTCAGATAGATTGGATGAGGAAAGGCTGATCATTTTGGAGTCCCTGTATGTGCTGGGTGTGAGTCTGTTTTTCTGACAGGCCTGCAACATAAGGGATTACAGTGCTCTTGCGTCTCTCCTCCCTTTCGTGTTCAGTGTTATTTTTTTTCTTTCTGTTCTTCACAAAGGCCCACTTAGGGTATCCACAGGTTGTCAGGGCATTTTTGATGTGCTTCTGTTCCTTTTCCTTACCTTCTTTCTTCATGGGAATGTTCTCAGCCCGTTGGTTGAGTGTTCTGATAACACCCAGTTTGTGCTGCAGAGGATGGTGGGAAGTAAATATTGAGTAAATATTGATCCGTGTGTGTGGGTTACCTGTACACTTCAATGTTGAGACACCCATCTGCCTCCAATTGTACAGCACAGTCCAAAAAGGCCAACAGATTGTCCTTGACATCTTCACGGGTGAACTTGATGTTGCTGTCCACTGTGTTGATATGGTCTGTGAAGGCCTCTACTTCATATGTTTTGATCTTAACACAGGTGTCATCCACATATCTGAACCAGTGGCTAGGTGCTGCTCCTTTGAAGGAGGTTAGGGCCTTCCTCTCTACCTCTTCCATGTACAGGTTTGCCACAATTGGAGAAACCGGGGAGCCCATAGCACATCCATGTTTCTGTCTGTAATGGCGCTCTCTGAACTGGAAATAGGTGATGCTGAGTCAGATGTCCAATAAGGAACAGATGTGGTCGGGGGTTAAGTTGGTTCTGACCTCCAGTGTGTTGTCCTGTAAGAGGCGTTGTCTTACTGCTTGGACTGCCTCTGTTGTTGGAATACTCTTGAAAAGTGATGTGACATCATAGGAAACCATGGTTTCATCTGGGTCCAGCCTGATGTCCTTGATTTTCTCAGTAAAGTCTGTTTGGTGACATTTGGTTGAAGGTAACTGTCCTTAAACCACTGTGTGATGAAGTGGGAGATAGAGTCTGGATGAGTTCAAACTGAACTTTCATTCAAACTGAATTTTCATTCAGGATAGCAAGTACGGCAGTGTCATCAGAGTATTTAAAGTATGTGATGTTTGGAGAGGGGCTGGTGCAGCCATTTGTGTAGAAGGTGTACATAAATGGGCTCAGAACACACCCTTGTGGAGCTCCAGTGTTGGTGATGATATTGCCCACTCTGACTGTTTGTAGTCTGTCAAGTCAAGTCAAAGTTAATCTCAAAAACACATTTAAAAATAACTTCACAACAAATATATAAACACAATATTAAAAATCACAGTATATAAGAATAAAATTAAAACAATAAAAGAAGAAGAGAAGAGGAATGAAAGATTAAGGATAAAAGTCAAGGCTACTCATCTATCTGGGACTGCGCGCCAAAGAAAAAAGATGGGTTTTCAGCAGAGTTTTAAAGTGCTCAGTGGACTGTGCAGCTCTAACCTGGTAAGGTGGACTGTCCCACAGTTTTGGAGCTGCTACTGTAAAGGCTTTGTCCCCAGTTGAGAGCCTGGACCGAGGCACTGCCAGGAGCAGCTGGTTAGACAACTTGAGTGGCAATAAGAACTAAGTGTGCCAATGACACTGTCATATCATCTAAAAGCTTCTGTTGACCAAATAAAATATTCTCAGTTTTAATTTTGTTCATAGACAGAAAAATAACTTCCATTTATGAACAAATATCACTGAGACATATGGACCCCAAGGACAACATATAAAGTGAGAAAAGGAGAGGACCCAAAGTGGAACCCCGGGGTACCCCACAGCTCAGAGGGGAAGTGGCTGGGGAGAACTGGCCAAGCTGGACAGAGAAGGTCCTGTCGAGGTAGGAATTAAACCACTTAAGAACAGTAGCCCCAGTGCCCACACAAGTACTCAGGTGTGACAGGAGGGTGTTGGGATCTACTATGTCAAAGGCAGCTGTGAGATCCAGAAGGACCGGGACAGCAGAGTTACCAGAATTAACTGTTAAAAAAAAAAGATCATTTAAAATTCTTAAAAGCGCAATTTCTGTGCCATGGCACAGCTTAAAACCAGATTGGAATTTTTCTGAGATATTGTTTTTGACAATGTGGGACTGCAGCTGCTCAATTACCACCTTCTCCAAAACCTCGGAAAGAAAAGGAAGCTTCAAGATGGACCTAAAATTTGATAAACTGAGAGTTCAAGATTGTGTTTTTGATGAGGGATTGAACAACATGTTAAACAGCAGCAGGAACACACCCAGACATCAAAGATGCATTTGCCAGATCCATATTCAAGGGCCCAATAGTATGAAAGATCTCCTTAACAAGACAAGTTGAAATGCTGTTAAGAGGACAGTAAGTAGGCCTGAGGTGCTGGACAATATCAGTAAATGCTGAGATAGACACTTGCTCAAACCTGTCAAAAACAACAGGGCAAATGGGAGAGAAGGCAGGGTCTGATATAGTATCGGAAATTTTGTCATTGAAAATAACATAAAAAGTAATTGCACCATTTGAAGAAATAGTCTTTTTTATCACAGGAGTTTAAAAGTATTACAAAGATACCAAGGTTTATTTCTTCTGGCTCCAGGTGATGGGGACAACAGGCTGGATCTTTCAATTACACTACAGTGAGATGCCAAAATGCCATCTGGTCTGGCAGCCTTGCTTAGTTTGCACTGGCTCAGCTGATGGCCCATGTCCTCCAATTGAAGTAAGGTGGTCCCAGGATGGGCATAATCTCCAGCAGGGCCTTGCAGTCTTGTGTGCAATCTATGTCAAAATGGCCATAAAAGGTGTACAAGTTTTCAGCGCAGGTTCAGATATTGTAGTTAATTTTAGTTTGTTGTAACCAGTGAGTGCTCTTATCAAAAGCCTGTTTAGTTTATGACAGAAAGAGCAGGTCTAAGTCCAAAACCTTAAGGTCAAGAAAAATAGAATACACCTCAATTTTAACTATCCAGTGGTGTTTCCTCTTTGTGATACTCAGTGGTAATATGTTATATTAAATAATGCTAACCACCTTTTTTTCTCTGGTAACTGCAGTTTCTGCAGTTTAAATCTAAAAAATCCATGGAAATTTTCAAATCAAACTATTTCAGGGTTTAAAAAAAGTAACTGGAGTATAATAATGGTTATATTTGCACAGGGTATAACAGTCTTGGTAATACATTTATCTTCATAAAAGCAACCCATCAAAGCAATGGCAAAGGCAGACGGCCTTTTTTTGTTAATATCATTTAGGACTTTTGTCTAAATTAATTTTTATCAAACCATCAAATGCCTAAATACTGAAACTCATTAGGAGACAGTTTAAGAGGCAAACAGATGACAGAACAACTCCAGTTGTTTAGGGAGAGAGCCAATGATTTCTTGTAATAGGTATTATATGCAGAGAACACCCCAAATTCATTATCTTGGTAACAGCTGGAACCAAGAAGGTGGGATTATTAAAAAATGGAGGGATATCATTTGCATACAAAGAAAGCTTGAGCATTTTATTATTTCTCTCTCTCTCTCTGTCTTACACACACACACGCACGCACGCGCACACACACACACACACACGGAGAGCATGGAGAAAAGCTTACATTGTGCTTACACACAGCTAAGTAATGGTTTATGTTTTCAGCAGCCAACCAAATAAATGAAGAGAGCAAATGCGAGCCAAGCTGGAGCTGTTTTTATCCCAAGGCTGTGGAGCTGAGGACATGCAGAGAGCCCAGGGTTGGTGGAGCACCTGTTTATTTTTACAGACCTTTAGTCATGTGATGTCATTCCATGGCAGTAAACATTTATCTGTGTTTCATAATGGTAGTCCATATTCAGGGTCACCAGCGAACACTGAGTCCATGAGAAACACCACCTTCTGAGGCTAGAACCTGGCTCAGGTTTACAGAATTTCCAGCACTGTTACAGACCCAAATTTTTAATTCAAAAGATGATTTATTCAAAGATAAGTTGTTCTTGGTATCCTGAAAATATTCGGGGTCAGAAGGACAGGAGGACCTCAGTTTTAAATGACGGTATTAAAGACCCTACGTTCCTGATTCTTAAGGTGGTAAAAACCTACCTTTGCTATGTTTTTTTGATGTGTGGAAATAAAACTGAGCTCAGAGTCGAAAATAGACACCCAGGTTTTTTACAGATGTTGATACTTTAAAATCTTGTAGTTTTGGTGCAAGTGTCTCTCTCAGGCCTTCAGGACCAATAACTAAAACCTCTGTTTTGTCCTGGTTGAGCTGCAGGAAGTTGGCTGCCATCCAGGACTTAATGTCTAAAATGCAATTTAAAAGGGCATCAATTGGCCCGCTATCATCAGGCGACACGGCCATGTACAGTTGTGTATCATCAGCATAGCTGTGAGAGCTGATGCCATGCCTCCTGATGATGTCCCCCAGGGGAAGCATGTAAAGATTAAAAAAAGTTGGACCTAAAATTGACCCCTGGGGAACCCCACACATAATTTCATGGGTTTGTGAGGAACATGTATCCATACTTACTAAGAAGTGTCGATCAGTGAGACAGGAGGTGAACCAGTTCAAAACAGTGCCTGAAACGCCGACCAGGTGCTTAAGTCTATTTAATAAAACGTGATGGTCTACTGTATCAAAGGCGGCGGTTAGATCCAGCAGGACCAAGACTGTGAGGTTGCGATTATTAGGGCCCGAGCGTAGCTGCTAAGCAGCTGCGAGAGCCCTATTATTCCTGATGGATTCTTAGGGCCCGAGCGTAGCTGCTAAGCAGCTGCGAGAGCCCTCTTGTTCCTGTAGTTTCCTTCTTTTTAGGGCCCGAGCCAGCTGCAGAGCAGCCGGGCGTAGAGCCCTATTATTCCTGATGAGTTTTTAGGGCCCGAGCGTAGCTGCTAAGCAGCTGCGAGAGCCCTCTTGTTCCTGCATGTTTCCTTCTTTCGTTATTAGGGCCCGAGCGTAGCTGCTAAGCAGCTGCGAGAGCCCTCTTGTTCCTGCATGTTTCCTTCTTTCGTTATTATTTTTCCTCCGCTTTAAACTGGAAAATGGCCCACTTCCCACTGGCGAAAACTCAGGAAATTTGGCAGGACGACCGGGCCTGGTGAAAAATTCGATATTCTGAAGTCGCCCAAACAATAAAATGCAAAATGGCTCCATAGCGCCCCCTAAGGTGAAAATTCACATGACGGCTGTACGCTTTGTCAAAATGACACAAAAATTGACACACACATGTATCTCAATAAGATCTACAAAAAAGTCAGTGCGGGCGTATCTGTCAAATGTACGGTTAAAGGGTTATTTCGCATTTTTTGCAGATCTGCACACATTGGAATTTCGCTAACTCCTCCGAAGGCTTTCGTTCCACCGGCACCACATTTGCGCAGGCCAATCTACCCCCCATGGCCATTCAAAGTTGTACAAATCATCTTGCTGCACCCCACAGTTTAGGTTCTAGGGGGCGCCAAAGATAACCCAAAAATCCACAGTGTTAAAAGTCTTATAACTTTTTATTTTTTTCCAAACTGGCCTCCAAGTTTTCTACGATGATGCAATGTCCAGCCATCAACACATCTGTGAAGAAATTTTTACTCCCCAAAAGAGCGCCCCCCCATGGCAGGAGAAAAAAGTCAATTTTTTCTTGTCACGTAAGGTGAAAATACACATTTTTGAGTGTCACCCCTGTACCCTTTGTCATATTGACACAAAATTTGACAATAACGTGTATCTCAATAAGATCTATGAAAAAGTCAAAGGGCACATATCTTTCAAATGTACGGTTAAAGGGCTATTTTGCATTTTTTGCCGATTCGCACACATTGGAATTTCGCTAACTCCTCCGAAGGCTATCTTTCTACCGGCACCAAATTTGCTCAGGCCAATCTACACCCCATGGCCATTAAAAGTTGTACAAATCATGACGCTGCCCTCCACGGTTTAGGTTCTAGGGGGCGCCAAAGATAACCCAAAAATCCACATTCTTAATAGTCTTATAACTTTTTAGTTTTGTCCTCACTGGCCTCCAAGTTTTCTAGGATGATGCAATGTCCAGCCATCAACACATTTGTAAAGGAATTTTTACTCCCGAAAAGAGCGCCCCCACCATGGCAGGAGAAAAAAGTCCATTTTTTCTTGTCCCCTAAGGTGAAAAAACACATTGTTGACTGTCACGCCTATACGCTTTGTCAAAATGACACAAAATTTGACACACACGTGTATCTCAATAAGATCTACGAAAAAAGTCAATGGGCACGTATCTGTAAAATGTACGGTTAAAGGGCTATTTCGCATTTTTTGCCGATCCGCACACATTGGAATGTGGCTAACTCCTCCTAAGGCTTTCGTCCCACCGACACCAAATTTGCTCAGGCCAATCTACACCCCATGGCCATTCAAAGTTGTAAAAATCATGACGCTGCACCCCACGGTTTACGTTCTAGGGGGCGCCAAAGATGACCCAAATATCCACATTCTTAAAAGAATCCACATCCCCCCCCCCCCCCCCCCCCCAAGGCAGGAGAAAAAGTCAAGTTAACCCTGCCCATCGCTCAATGGCTCAATCGCATCGCTCTCCCGGCAACACCGTAAGGAGGAGCAACTTGCCATTTGGATATATCCTAGCTGTGTTTTTGCCCTCACTCATGGTCCAGACTTTTTTCAAATAGGACATGTAGTTTGTCTGCAGCGAGCGTTTTGGTAGAAACTGCGCCTCCCATTCATTATAATGGGAAATGACCACAGACAAGTGCGCACACCATCTTTGGACCTTGAGTGTGACGCGATCGGGAGGGGGAGGCGGTCGCGCTGGGGGCGGTGCGACGCGGCTCGGGCCCGACAGTGCCCCACCGGGGCCCTAGTTCTTTCTTTCTTTCTTTAGGGCCCGAGCCAGCTGCAGAGCAGCCGGGCGTAGGCCCTATTATTCCCCAAGAGGTTTTTCTTTGTTTCTTTCTTTCTTTCTTTAGGGCCCGAGCCAGCTGCAGAGCAGCCGGGCGTAGGCCCTGTTATTCCTGTAGGGGTTTTTCTTTAGGGCCCGAGCGTAGCTGCTAAGCAGCTGCGAGAGCCCTCTTGTTCCTGCATGTTTCCTTCTTTCGTTATTAGGGCCCGAGCGTAGCTGCTAAGCAGCTGCGAGAGCCCTCTTGTTCCTGCATGTTTCCTTCTTTCGTTATTATTTTTCCTCCGCTTTAAACTGGAAAATGGCCCACTTCCCACTGGCGAAAACTCAGGAAATTTGGCAGGACGACCGGGCCTGGTGAAAAATTCGATATTCTGAAGTCGCCCAAACAATAAAATGCAAAATGGCTCCATAGCGCCCCCTAAGGTGAAAATTCACATGACGGCTGTACGCTTTGTCAAAATGACACAAAAATTGACACACACATGTATCTCAATAAGATCTACAAAAAAGTCAGTGCGGGCGTATCTGTCAAATGTACGGTTAAAGGGTTATTTCGCATTTTTTGCAGATCTGCACACATTGGAATTTCGCTAACTCCTCCGAAGGCTTTCGTTCCACCGGCACCACATTTGCGCAGGCCAATCTACCCCCCATGGCCATTCAAAGTTGTACAAATCATCTTGCTGCACCCCACAGTTTAGGTTCTAGGGGGCGCCAAAGATAACCCAAAAATCCACAGTGTTAAAAGTCTTATAACTTTTTATTTTTTTCCAAACTGGCCTCCAAGTTTTCTACGATGATGCAATGTCCAGCCATCAACACATCTGTGAAGAAATTTTTACTCCCCAAAAGAGCGCCCCCCATGGCAGGAGAAAAAAGTCAATTTTTTCTTGTCACGTAAGGTGAAAATACACATTTTTGAGTGTCACCCCTGTACCCTTTGTCATATTGACACAAAATTTGACAATAACGTGTATCTCAATAAGATCTATGAAAAAGTCAAAGGGCACATATCTTTCAAATGTACGGTTAAAGGGCTATTTTGCATTTTTTGCCGATTCGCACACATTGGAATTTCGCTAACTCCTCCGAAGGCTATCTTTCTACCGGCACCAAATTTGCTCAGGCCAATCTACACCCCATGGCCATTAAAAGTTGTACAAATCATGACGCTGCCCTCCACGGTTTAGGTTCTAGGGGGCGCCAAAGATAACCCAAAAATCCACATTCTTAATAGTCTTATAACTTTTTAGTTTTGTCCTCACTGGCCTCCAAGTTTTCTAGGATGATGCAATGTCCAGCCATCAACACATTTGTAAAGGAATTTTTACTCCCGAAAAGAGCGCCCCCACCATGGCAGGAGAAAAAAGTCCATTTTTTCTTGTCCCCTAAGGTGAAAAAACACATTGTTGACTGTCACGCCTATACGCTTTGTCAAAATGACACAAAATTTGACACACACGTGTATCTCAATAAGATCTACGAAAAAAGTCAATGGGCACGTATCTGTAAAATGTACGGTTAAAGGGCTATTTCGCATTTTTTGCCGATCCGCACACATTGGAATGTGGCTAACTCCTCCTAAGGCTTTCGTCCCACCGACACCAAATTTGCTAAGGCCAATCTACACCCCATGGCCATTCAAAGTTGTAAAAATCATGACGCTGCACCCCACGGTTTACGTTCTAGGGGGCGCCAAAGATGACCCAAATATCCACATTCTTAAAAGAATCCACATCCCCCCCGCCCCCCCCCCCCCAAGGCAGGAGAAAAAGTCAAGTTAACCCTGCCCATCGCTCAATGGCTCAATCGCATCGCTCTCCCGGCAACACCGTAAGGAGGAGCAACTTGCCATTTGGATATATCCTAGCTGTGTTTTTGCCCTCACTCATGGTCCAGACTTTTTTCAAATAGGACATGTAGTTTGTCTGCAGCGAGCGTTTTGGTAGAAACTGCGCCTCCCATTCATTATAATGGGAAATGACCACAGACAAGTGCGCACACCATCTTTGGACCTTGAGTGTGACGCGATCGGGAGGGGGAGGCGGTCGCGCTGGGGGCGGTGCGACGCGGCTCGGGCCCGACAGTGCCCCACCGGGGCCCTAGTTATTTTTCCTCCGCTTCAAACTGGAAAATGGCCCACTTCCCACTGGCGAAAACTCAGGAAATTTGGCAGGATGTCCGGGCCTGGTGAAAAATTCGATATTCTGAAGTCGCCCAAACAATAAAATGCAAAATGGCTCCATAGCGCCCCCTAAGGTGAAAATTCACATGACGGCTGTACGCTTTGTCATATTGACACAAAAATTGACACACACATGTATCTCAATAAGATCTACAAAAAAGTCAGTGCGGGCGTATCTGTCAAATGTACGGTTAATGGGTTATTTTGCATTTTTTGCAGATCTGCACACATTGGAATTTCGCTAACTCCTCCGAAGGCTTTCGTTCGACCGGCACCACATTTGCGCAGGCCAATCTACCCCCCATGGCCATTAAAAGTTGTACAAATCATGACGCTGCACCCCACGGTTTACGTTCTAGGGGGCGCCAAAGATAACCCAAAATCCACATTCTTAAAAGTCTTATAACTTTTTACTTTTGTCCTCACTGGCCTCCAAGTTTTCTAGGATGATGCAATGTCCAGCCATCAACACATTTGTGAAGGAATTTTTACTCCCCAAAAGAGCGCCCCCCCATGGCAGGAGAAAAAAGTCCATTTTTTTCTTGTCCCATGAGGTGAAAATACACATTGTTGACTGTCATACCTGTACGCTTTGTCATATTGACACAAAATTTGACACACACATGTATCTCAATAAGATCTAAGAAAAAGTCAATGCGCGCGTATCTGTAAAATGTACGGTTAAAGGGCTATTTTGCATTTTTTGCCGATTAGCACACATTGGAATGTGGCTAACTCCTCCTAAGGCTTTCGTTCCACTGATACCAAATTTGCTCAGGCCAATCTGCACCCCATGGCCATTCAAAGTTGTAAAAATCATGACGCTGCACCCCACGGTTTACGTTCTAGGGGGCGCCAAAGATGACCCAAATATCCACATTCTTAAAAGAATCCACATCCCCCCCCCCCATCCCCCATCCCCCATCCCCCATGGCACAAGAAACAGTCAAGTTTTTCCTGCCCATCACTCAATGGCTCAATCGCATCGCTCTCCCGGCAACACCGTAATGAGGAGCAACTTGCCATTTGGATATATCCTAGCTGTGTTTGTGCCCTCACTTATGGTCCAGACTTTTTTCAAATAGGACATGTAGTTTGTCTGCAGCGAGTGTTTTGGTAGAAACTGCGCCTCCCATTCATTTTAATGGGAAATGACCACAGACAAGTGGGCACAACATCTTTGGACCTTGAGTGTGACGCGATCGGGAGGGGGAGGCGGTCGCGCTGGGGGCGGCACAACGCGGCTCGGGCCCGACAGTGCCCCACCGGGGCCCTAGTTCTTTCTTCTTTCTTTCTTTCTTTCTTTCTTTAGGGCCCGAGCCAGCTGCAGAGCAGCCGGGCGTAGAGCCCTATTATTCCTGTATAGGTTTTTCTTTCTTCTTTCTTTCTTTCTTTCTTCTTATTTTTCCTCCCCTTTGAAGGGGAAAATGGCCCACTTCCCACTGGCGAAAACTCATGACATTTTGCAGGATGACCGGGCCTGGTGAAAAATTCGATATTCTGAAGTCGCCCAAACAATAAAATGCAAAATGGCTCCATAGCGCCCCCTAAGGTGAAAATTTACACTATTGACTGTCACGCCTGTACGCTTTGTCATATTGACACAAAAATTGACACACACATGTATCTCAATAAGAGCTACAAAAAAGTCAGTGCGGGCGTATCTGTCAAATGTACGATTAAAGGGTTATTTTGCATTTTTTGCAGATCCTAACACATTGGAATTTCGCTAACTCCTCCGAAGGCTTTTGTTCCACCGGCACCACATTTGCTCAGGCCATTCTACATCCCATGGCCATTAAAAGTTGTACAAATCATGATGCTGCAACCCACGGTTAAGGTTCTAGGGGGCGCCAAAGATAACCCAAAAATCCACAGTCTTAATAGTCTTATAACTTTTTATTTTTGTCCTCACTGGCCTCCAAGTTTTCTAGGATGATGCAATGTCCAGCCATCAACACATTTGTAAAGGAATTTTTACTCCCGAAAAGAGCGCCCCCCCATGGCAGGAGAAAAAAGTCCAATTTTTCTTGTCCCCTAAGGTAAAAAAACACATTGTTGACTGTCACGCCTATACGCTTTGTCAAAATGACACAAAATTTGACACACACGTGTATCTCAATAAGATCTACGAAAAAGTCAATGGGCACGTATCTGTAAAATGTACGGTTAAAGGGCTATTTCGCATTTTTTGCCGATTCGCACACATTGGAATGTGGCTAACTCCTCCTAAGGCTTTCTTCCCACCGACACCAGATTTGCTCAAGCCGATCTACATCCCATGGCCATTAAAAGTTGTAAAAATCATGCCGCTGCACCCCATGGTTTACGTTCTAGGGGGCGCCAAAGATGACCCAAATATCCACATTCTTAAAAGAATCCACACCCCCCCCCCAAGGCAGGAGAAAAAGTCCAGTTAACCCTGCCCATCGCTCAATGGCTCAATCGCATCGCTCTCCTGGCAACACCGTAAGGAGGAGCAACTTGCCATTTGGATATATCCTAGCTGTGTTTGTGCCCTCACTCATGGTCCAGACTTTTTTCAAATAGGACATGTAGTTTGTCTGCAGCGACCGTTTTGGTAGAAACTGCGCCTCCCATTCATTATAATGGGAAATGACCACAGACAAGTGCGCACACCATCTTTGGACCTTGAGTGTGATGCGATCGCGTTGGGGGAGGCGGTCGCGCTGGGGGCAGCGCGACGCGGCTCGGGCCCGACAGTGCCCCACCGGGGCCCTAGTTCTTCTTATTTTTCCTCCCCTTTGAAGGGGAAAATGGCCCACTTCCCACTGGCGAAAACTCATGACATTTGGCAGGATGAACGGGCCTGGTGAAAAATTCGATATTCTGAAGTCGCCCAAACAATAAAATGCAAAATGGCTCCATAGCGCCCCCTAAGGTGGAAATTCACACTATTGACTGTCACGCTTGTACGCTTTGTCATATTGACACAAAAATTGACACACACATGTATCTCAATACGATCTACAAAAAAGTCAGTGTGGGCGTATCTGTCAAATGTACGGTTAAAGGGTTATTTCACATTTTTTGCCGATCCGCACACATTGGAATTTCGCTAACTCCTCCGAAGGCTTTCGTTCCACCGGCACCAAATTTGCTCAGGCCAATCTACACCCCATGGCCATTAAAAGTTGTACAAATCATGACGCTGCACCCCACGGTTTAGGTTCTAGGGGGCGCCAAAGATAACCCAAAAATCCACATTCTTAAAAGTCTTATAACTTTTTATTTTTGTCCTCACTGGCCTCCAAGTTCTCTAGGATGATGCAATGTCCAGCAATTAACACATTTGTGAAGGAATTTTTACTCGCCAAAAGAGCGCCCCCCCATGGCAGGAGAAAAAAGTCAATTTTTTCTTGTCCCCTAAGGCGAAAATACACATTGTTGAGTGTCACGCCTGTACGCTTTGTCATATTGACACAAAATTTGACAATCACGTGTATCTCAATAAGATCTACGAAAAAGTCAATGTGAACGTATCTGTAAAATGTACGGTTAAAGGGCTATTTCGCATTTTTTGCCGATTCGCACACATTGGAATGTGGCTAACTCCTCCTAAGGCTTTCGTTCCACTGACACCAAATTTGCTCAGGCCAATCTACACCCCATGGCCATTCAAAGTTGTAAAAATCATGACGCTGCACCCCACGGTTTACGTTCTAGGGGGCGCCAAAGAGGACCCAAATATCCAAATTTTTAAAAGTCTTATAACTTTATTTTTGTCCTCACTGGCCTCCAAGTTTTCTAGGATGATGCAATGTTCAGTCATCAACACATTTGTGAAGGAATTTTTCTCCCCAAAAGAGCGCCCCCCATGGCAGGAGAAAAAGTCAAGTTTTTCCTGCCCATCGCTCAATGGCTCAAACGCATCGCTCTCTCGGCAAAACCGAAAGGAGGAGCACCTTGCCATTTGGATATATACTAGCTGTGTTTGTGCCCTCACTCATGGTCCAGACTTTTTTCAAAAAGGACATGGAGTTTGTCTGCAGCGAGCGTTTTGGTAGAAACTGCGCCTCCCATTCATTATAATGGTAAATGACCACAGACAAGTGCGCACACCATCTTTGGACCTTGAGTGTGACGCCATTGGGAGGGGTAGGCGGTTGCGCTGGGGGCGGCGCGACACGGCTCGGGCCCGCCAGTGCCCCAACGGGGCCCTAGTGTTATTATTAGGGCCCGAGCCAGCTGCAGAGCAGCCGGGCGTAGAGCCCTATTATTCCTGATGAGTTTTTCTTTCTTCTTTCTTTCTTTAGGGCCCGAGCGTAGCTGCTAAGCAGCTGCGAGAGCCCTCTTGTTCCTGCATGTTTCCTTCTTTCGTTATTATTTTTCCTCCGCTTCAAACTGGAAAATGGCCCACTTCCCACTGGCGAAAACTCAGGAAATTTGGCAGGATGTCCGGGCCTGGTGAAAAATTCGATATTCTGAAGTCGCCCAAACAATAAAATGCAAAATGGCTCCATAGCGCCCCCTAAGGTGAAAATTCACATGACGGCTGTACGCTTTGTCATATTGACACAAAAATTGACACACACATGTATCTCAATAAGATCTACAAAAAAGTCAGTGCGGGCGTATCTGTCAAATGTACGGTTAATGGGTTATTTTGCATTTTTTGCAGATCTGCACACATTGGAATTTCGCTAACTCCTCCGAAGGCTTTCGTTCGACCGGCACCACATTTGCGCAGGCCAATCTACCCCCCATGGCCATTAAAAGTTGTACAAATCATGACGCTGCACCCCACGGTTTACGTTCTAGGGGGCGCCAAAGATAACCCAAAAATCCACATTCTTAAAAGTCTTATAACTTTTTACTTTTGTCCTCACTGGCCTCCAAGTTTTCTAGGATGATGCAATGTCCAGCCATCAACACATTTGTGAAGGAATTTTTACTCCCCAAAAGAGCGCCCCCCCATGGCAGGAGAAAAAAGTCCATTTTTTTCTTGTCCCATGAGGTGAAAATACACATTGTTGACTGTCATACCTGTACGCTTTGTCATATTGACACAAAATTTGACACACACATGTATCTCAATAAGATCTAAGAAAAAGTCAATGCGCGCGTATCTGTAAAATGTACGGTTAAAGGGCTATTTTGCATTTTTTGCCGATTAGCACACATTGGAATGTGGCTAACTCCTCCTAAGGCTTTCGTTCCACTGATACCAAATTTGCTCAGGCCAATCTGCACCCCATGGCCATTCAAAGTTGTAAAAATCATGACGCTGCACCCCACGGTTTACGTTCTAGGGGGCGCCAAAGATGACCCAAATATCCACATTCTTAAAAGAATCCACATCCCCCCCCCCCCCCATCCCCCATCCCCCATCCCCCATGGCACAAGAAACAGTCAAGTTTTTCCTGCCCATCACTCAATGGCTCAATCGCATCGCTCTCCCGGCAACACCGTAATGAGGAGCAACTTGCCATTTGGATATATCCTAGCTGTGTTTGTGCCCTCACTTATGGTCCAGACTTTTTTCAAATAGGACATGTAGTTTGTCTGCAGCGAGTGTTTTGGTAGAAACTGCGCCTCCCATTCATTTTAATGGGAAATGACCACAGACAAGTGGGCACAACATCTTTGGACCTTGAGTGTGACGCGATCGGGAGGGGGAGGCGGTCGCGCTGGGGGCGGCACAACGCGGCTCGGGCCCGACAGTGCCCCACCGGGGCCCTAGTTCTTTCTTTCTTTCTTCTTATTTTTCCTCCCCTTTGAAGGGGAAAGTGGCCCACTTCCCACTGGCGAAAACTCATGACATTTGGCAGGATGAACGGGCCTGGTGAAAAATTCGATATTCTGAAGTCGCCCAAACAATAAAATGCAAAATGGCTCCATAGCGCCCCCTAAGGTGGAAATTCACACTATTGACTGTCACGCTTGTACGCTTTGTCATATTGACACA